TTTGTGTACAGAATGTTTAGGATACACGTTCTTTGGAAAACTAGAAAAAATATATCTATTCATTATATATCAAAATGGAGAATAACAAGGAAATTATTAAGAAATTAAAATACTTATTCCCTACATTGAATTCATTTTCTTTTACATTTTTAAATAATGTCTATGTGTCAGCCACGGTATAGGGTTCTTTAGAGATAATCTCATTTAAGCAGCACAATAACTTCATGAGAAAGTGCTATTGCCATTATTATTTTATAGACAAGGAAACTAAAGTCTCATATCTACTAAGAGATGAAAATATGATTTGAAACTAGCTCTTTTTAAAATCCAGATGATCCAGTGTTTTTCATTATAGTGTTCTTTTACAGCTTATGAATCCTTTTCACAACATGATCTATTTAAGGTAGGTAGAGAAGATTCTTTTATTTTTTAGTCAAGGAAATTAAAGCTTAGAACTTTTTAGTGGCTGGCTCAATATAATAGCTAGTCAATTCACATATTGGCAATAAAATTTAAAAGGCAAAATCATCATATTTTATAACAATTATTGTAACATTTATATAAAGCATAGTATGTGCCAATCACCTGGGAGCTTTATTTATATTAACTCATTTAATTCTCAAAACAACCCTTTGAGGAAGGTAACTATTATCCCCATTTTACAGAAGGGGAAACTGAGGACTGTAAGGTACTGCTCTTTTCAATATGTTATATTTCATCCATTTAACCAGTCAAGAGGGCATTGAGTAAAGGCAAGTAGTAGAAAAATGAGGCGAACAAGAGATTCTCAAAAAAATTGCTGAAACTCTATGCTTTGTGTAACCAATTTTAACTTATTCTAAGCCTGCTGATACTTCTCAAAAGGTATACCAAAGATTAATGAGGAAATAAATAGTGACACAGAGGAAATGTTGATTATCCACATCTTTTTGATGATTTCTCATGTTTTAAGATTTCTTAATTTCTGTTCATATCCACTCATCTCCCTGAGGTTCACTTCAATTTATTCTGTTTGATTGTAATAACTCCTTCCAATAATAAGCAATAAAAATGAGTTAGGTTCACACAGATTCAAATTGAATTTGTATCTACAACTGGTAATATTTCTTGCAGCATAGCAAGATTGACAGGCAGAGTGTTTGATTAAAAACCAGAAGAATTTCACTTAGGTTCCAGTGTGAGGCTTATCTAACAACTCCTCTGTTTTCATTGTTGAGAATCTCATTAACTTGACTCTTCTGGCTATGTGGAGAAGGTTGTTTTTGTCTAGTTGTGTTTTTGTTTTCGTTTCTGTTTTTTTAAAGAATGAAGCCAGAAACTAATAAGGACAATGCACACAAAATCTCATACTATCTATTCGGCTGAGCCGTTTCTAAATAAAAAACAATAAAACTGGGCCCTGCAGCACATGAGTTTACAGAAAGTCAAACTAAACTGCTGATGGCAAAACAAGATTCACTCTCTTCTGTGGTCTGGCAGTCTAGAGAAAATTTAAAAGGGATAAAAAAGAGTAAAAANTAAAACTGGGCCCTGCAGCACATGAGTTTACAGAAAGTCAAACTAAACTGCTGATGGCAAAACAAGATTCACTCTCTTCTGTGGTCTGGCAGTCTAGAGAAAATTTAAAAGGGATAAAAAAGAGTAAAAAACAATTCAATTTCCTTTCAATTATAGTATATTGATTTCCTATACTACTTGCTGGTTATGGCCTAAAGTTATTTTAAATCCTTAAAATCGTTTAGTGCTTTAATTATTTCCTTTACTGGAGCTGCGGCAATAATGATCATGTAGCGTTCTGTTAAAATCAATGTAAGATCTTGTGTTCAACAAACTGGTTGATGTATTTGCATGTGCACTGTAGCATGCTCCTAACACTATGTGTACTAATAATCAAGTTTTATATATTTACTCTTTTCTCCTTAATGTTTTCACTTTTCATTTGTACATGTGCTATAAGGGATGACTTTGGACTCTTGATTTTACATCACTGTTTCAGGCAGTGTTATAATATCAAAAAGAGCTAAACTGCTCAATTTTAATTTTACGCTCAATAGTTTGTAGGCTTTAATAACAGGAGTCA